ACACGCACGTCGGCGTTCACCAGTCCAAACCCTAACTCGGGCCGAACCCTAATCACCGAATCTGAACACTCCCACTCAGACGAATCACTCTAAGCCTCTAACTCGTCATGCTCCTCTTGCGGGCTGTCTTCTTCGCCTTTGGCGTCACCCACACGCCTGCACTGTCGCCACCCTCGCTCTCCTGGTAGCGCACTGCGTCGCTCTTCTCCGACGACGTCTTCTCCACTCCGTGCTGCGGCTCTTCGGCTCCCACGGCTTCCGTTGTTGCTCCCACATTCGCCCGATACCACTCTGCGGGCTCCCGTCGCACTCTCGCGGTATATTTTCCCACCTCTTGGGACTCCACTACAGGCTTCTCCTTTGCCTGTTCCACATCGGCGGACTTGTTCTCTACCGCCGTCTTTGGGCTCTCCTTGCCCTTTTCAATCTCCTCGGACACCTCCACAACTTCGCGCATCGTTTCCACAATCGGCCCACTTTGGCCTTTCTTTGAAACTGTGCGCGCGACGCGGCCGCGGTTCGTCGCGGGCGCGTGCGCGTCCCCCTCGCGCGCCGTTTCAAACTCCGCCCCTTTAGGGAGCTTTTGTGAACCTGTGCGCGGCACCTCATCCGCCCCCACAAAAGTTCCCCACTCTCGTTCGACGCCCTCATTCTCGTCGTCCGACTCGTCTTGGTCGATCTCCACGACCTTCACCGTCTTTTTCACCACGCTTTCCGCTCTTACCGGCCTCTTTGCCGTGGCGCACACCCGGTTCCTCTTGACCGGACCCCTCGCAAGGAATGCTCTCTGCTTCCCCACGGTCTCAATCTCCCACAGTCCTCCACGTTTGACTGCCTCCATACGGACCACATTGTCCGTCTCAATTTGCGCGATTCTGCCCTCCAGCACCACTCGTGCTCCCGCGTCAGTCGCTCTAATTAGCGAGAACAAACTCGCATGTGCCCTTGGAGCGTGCCGGACCTCCCTCAAGGTTACCGTACTCACACCGCTCGGGGTCTTATACTTAAGCTCCACTTCTCCAATGCCCACTGCAATCAAAGACTCACCACAGATTCCCACGATCTTCTCGTCACGCACAAGCTCTCTGTAGCTCGTGAATTGGCTCCGATCGGCCGTGACATGCTGGGTGCTGCCCGAGTCGACAATCCACACCCCATTGCGCACATCCCCGTCGTCGCCCCACGCCGTAAAGGCTACCCCTTTTGCATCCCCCGCAAACTCTCTCTCCTCTGCGCGGCCACTTGCGCGCGCGCTCTGCCTACACACTGCCTCTGTGTGGCCCCTCTTGCCGCACTTGCGGCACTCCGCATCGCGCAACCTGCACTTTGCCTTCATGTGGCCCACATTGCCACAACAATAGCACGTTGGCGGGTTTGAGCTCCCGCCTCTCACCTCCGAGCTTCTTCCCAGCTCGTTTGAGCTTCCCTGGCCCTTTTCTGAGCTC